TCCATCCATCCATCCATCCACCCATCCATCCATCCATCCATCCTCCCATCCTCCCATCCATCCTCCCATCCATCCATCCATCCATCCTCCCATCCTCCCATCCTCCCATCCATCCTCCCATCCATCCATCCTCCCATTAGCGTTATTTTATTATCGTTTTTATCTTTAACTCGGATTGCATCCATCCTTCGCCCCCAGGCACCTCCTGCAGCTCAACCAGGATGGGATTTTAGACACTTTGTGTAAAGTTGAGACAGGTGGCATGTCTCACAAAGTGGCATCATTTCAAGCCCTGGGGTGATAGCTTTCCTGGTTTTCCAGATTTACTTAAATTTTGACAGATTTGCAACTCAGATCTCGTGTGCACGTTTTGAACAAATCATAAAATAACATATATGATGACGTCAGGTAAAAAGATGCTGCAGCCTCAGACTTGATCTGAACCGAGCTGTATCCACAGTTTACTACAACACGCTTGTAAGATTTTAATGTGGCTGTTTTCCTGTTTGGGTTTTATGCTTATTGCCTTTAATGTATTTATATTTATTGCTCCCTCAGGTCCCCGAGGAATCCAAAGCAGAAGATCATCAAACGGGTCATTGGCCTGGAGGGAGACTTCATCAGGTAGGAAGAAGCTTCTTTTTTCTTTGCTGAAAATCCAACCGAGGCGTCGCAATTACAGCAGCAGCTACAGCGTTTCACATCAGATCTGTGCTGCGAGGGAGCGAACGTGTCGCCGCATCGTGCTGCAGTCGAGACATTCGCTTCACCAGACAAACTTCTAATCAGAGCAGCTGGCATCACCTCATGGTGAAAATAAATCACTAGCGTGTTCTCACGTGAGCACAAACTCTTCACTACATTTAGAAACAGACTTTTGTTGTCACCATATTTTTAGTCTTTATGATGACGGGACACGTCCTTCCTGCCAGTCTGAGACTCTCAGACTCTGATTATCTGCAGGTGGTCTACGCGTTGTAATTAAACAGACGTAACAATAACGTTCCTCTATTTAAATAACTGTCACCTTTAGGTGTGTCTCTCTTTATGTGGGACTGCATAACATTTTAATGTCTTATCCTTCTGTCACACACACTGAGACAGTATCCCGTATTTCGATCGGCTCTTGTTTACAAAATAGTCCAATTAAAAAAGGTATTTAATCAGAGAGTGAAACATCTTTTTGCTAATCACTTTAACTCAGTGGAAAAACAGCATGCAGTGAAGGAGCAGAAGCCGTATCTTTACTGCCAGACACCCATCTGTTAGCCCACGGACAAAGCTGCTGAGAGTGAACTTCTTTGGGGAGGAGCAGGAGTGGACGCTGGGATGTCCAGCTGTGGCGAGGCCCACACAAAGCTTAAAGATACAGAGCATGCTCCTGCAAGGTAACCGCTGGAGATGGCAGGAGGCCCAGATAACAAACACAGGGCATAACCTAAAACTGGGAAGATCCACATGGGAGTCAGAGGGTTGATACCTAAGGTAGACTAGGTCACTGATAGATACTGGAAAACAGTCCACTAACCAGTAATAAACAGGCTTCCTCCGTAGTGTCCAAGTGAAGTGTCTCTAAATGGTCCAAATAAAGGTAACAAAAACACCATGAAAGATAAAAGAGTAATTATCAAAAAAAGAACAAAAACCCTTCTGACCAGCCAATGATGGCACCTCCCCTTCTCCGAAACACCATGTACCCCCCAGTGTGCCATCCCCAGAGGACCCGTCTTTTATTTCTGTTCATATTTTCATTTTCATTCATTCATTTCTTTTCTCTCTTTCCCTCCTCCTCCTTCTTCCTCTCAGTATTATTTTAGTTATTCTCAGTGTTAGTAGAAGTAGTTCAATTCAATTCAGTTTATTTACATAGCGCCAAATCACAACAACAGTCGCCTCAAGGTGCTTTATATTGTAAGGTAGACCCTACAATAATACATACAGAGAAAAACCCAACAATCATATGACCCCCTATGAGCAGCACTTTGGCGACAGTGGGAAGGAAAAACTCCCTTTTAACAGGAAGAAACCTCCAGCAGAACCAGGCTCAGGGAGGGGCGGGGCCATCTGCTGTGATTGGTTGGGGTGAGAGAAGGAAGACAGAAGGAAGAAGCACCCTTACAAGTGTACGGTGTGAGGCTGGCCCATAGCGTGCTGCCTCACCTCTTGTCTTATGAGAGCTGGGATAGGCTTGGATAAGCTCTTAAGAAAGTGGAAGTAAAAGAAAAGACAACAACATGAGGGTTGGTCCTTCAAAATAAAACAGGAAGTAAATCAAAGTTGGAGAACACAGGAGGCAAAAGAATAAATAAAATCCAAGAATGTGTGTTTAACCTCACAAAGGACGAGGAAAGACCAAGGAAAATGGAAACAGAAGCGGATAACAGACAAACCATCACAAAGAGAGGTCGGCGATCCTGATCTGATCACCTTGGTGTTGGAGGAACTAACTTTTCCATCATCTGCTAACACAGCTGAAACTGTAAGGCCACACTTTAAGAAAAAAGGTTTAAAATGCGTGTCGCGTGCTTCATGTGTTCCTGCCATAACATCAGAGTTGCATTCATTTCTCAGAAATGAAAAACAGCTGTGGGGAATCACAGGAGGTGGAAATTTTAATTGTTTTTGCAGTTTTCACCGACTTTTCCCTGATAACTGCTAGTTTAATGAAAAATGTAGGCAGACGCGAACTTGCCATTAATTTCATAACCGCTTCATTCTCATCTCTTTTCGTCGCCTCCAACTGAATAATGAAAACAAGCGAAATAAACGAATGTGCCAGCGTTCGTCAGATTCAGCCCAACTTAATGAGTCAGGGGTTACTGAGTGACATTTACAACAACTGAGCGTGTCGCAATAACTCACAGAAAACATGGAAAAGTGTCTGAAAAGCTCTTATGAGTGGCATAAATCAGCACACGACTACGCCCCTTAAAACATGACTTTTTCCTGCTTTTTGTGATGATTAAAAGTGAAATAATACAGAGAGACATTTAAGCCACAAATTAAATTGTTTATGTTTGCAGTCAAAGACTTTCTTCTAATTCTGTGATGTTTTTGCACATATATTTACCTCCACAGGAACGGTTTTCTATATTTGAACATAAATCACCTCAAACTAAAAAGTTGTGAATTTCATATTGATGATAAAAGTCTTGCAAGGTGCTTTATGTAATATTTGAGACACTCCAACACAAGGAAGAACTGGGCCCGGCTCAAGCAAGGGCAGAAGGACGCGAAATAAGGAACCTCGACTGGAGTTTGGGGGGAAAGAGAGGAAGGAGGAGCATGGAGAGACCACGAAGAACAAACACGATGCAAGATGGCAATAACATACAGTCTGTTTGTGATAGTACAGCAATTAATGGATATTGTTCACCAAAAATTGCAAGTCTGTTGCCATCTGTGGAAAATCTATTATTGTCTACATACACAGAAAGGCACAGTAAAAATTCAGAATCGAGCCAGAACATCATAGATCGTAGCTTTGAAACTCAAACTCAGAACTTCCTCCACAAATCATCATGTAGTAGCTGCAGAATCAAGATTTAACTGAAATATGATATAGATGCTCAGCAACATTGCTGTTAGATAGCAACATAACCATACCATACTGGAATACAACCAGTTGCCAATAGCTGGATCGAGTTCCTCAGACTGACTCAGATTGATTGCAACCTGCTGGAAATCTGAGTTTATGAGTTAGACAGCAGTAAATTGCAATCCTTTGCCAAAATGCTACGTCCAGGTGAGCAGAATCAAGTTTTGGGGGGATTTGAAGCCTAATCTTGAAAGTAGAGATAGTGTCTGTCTCCTGAATCCAAACTGGAAGCTGGTTCCACAGAAGAGGGGCCTGAAAACTGAAGGCTCTGCCTCCCATTCTACTTTTAAATACTCTAGGAACAACAAGTAGGCCTGCAGAGCGAGAGCGAAGTGCTCTAGTAGGGTGATATGGTACTACAAGGTCATTTAGGTATGATCATTGAATACTGTGTGAAAAGGATTCTTGATTTCATAGGGAGCCAGTGAAGAGAAGCTAACAGCCAATCAATACTGAAAGTAACACCTGTGTGAGAAATTTAAGACATTAGACTTGCTCGTTAATTCCACTGATGCTTGATTCTTCCCCCGGTTTGCCTCATGTGTAGTTGTTAGGGGCATGAACCCTGGACTTCAGTGAGACATCTTGCCTCTGGGTCTACAGAAAACTAAATAGAGAATAGAGAAATTAAAAGGAGGAAAAAACTAGAATCAGAATCATGTGATGAATGAATCTTTGGGTTTTTTGCTATTTATAGAAAACTTGAAAGGCTTCTAACACTTTATCCTGAACATCTCGTTCTCACGTTAGAGTTTCCTTCACATTTTTAAACATCCTGAACAAGCAGAGTCTCCAATCATCACTACTGTTGATAGAAAACACCTGCTCCTCCTCCTGGTGCAGCTTTTGCTGTCAAGAACATCATCTCTGTAGTGTACGCGGGGAGTAAATCCTCTCCCATCGGCAGAGTTTTTGCTCCTCTGTCAGTCCCAGAAGACGCCAACGTCTCTGCGACGACACTTTCAGACTGACTCACAAAAGATCAGGTCCATCCTGTCGCTGTGTTTGATAGACAGGAGAGGGGATAACTGTGGATGTCTGTGACATTGTTGATTCATCAACCTCGGGCTTCAGATGAAGAATCAAAGTGTTTATACATTAAAACTGATTTTTGTCAGTTGTCATCAGAACTCTTTGTCTCCCAGAAAAGCATAAAGTCCAGAGCCGGCTGCTCCTCCTTTGTCTCTTTGGTTTCATCCAGTTTGCTCCTCTCTGCCCTCCGTTACTTCCTGAAACTCTGAAAGTCTTTATAAAAATCCTCACCCATTTCAGAGTTTTCCTGACTTTGTCGGCTCTAAATCTTTTCTTCATGGAGTATTTTCCACCATTCCAGGATCTCTTCCTGTTTTGTTTTCTCCAGACCTTTTGGCCTCAGTATTTCTCTCCACCGTCTTCTTTGAATATTCGCTCTCATCAGCCACCTGCCTTACATCAGCTCAATCTTCAGCCTCTGAGTTTCCAGGATATATTTTTTAATGCATGAAATTGCTTTACGTAGTGGACGTGAAGCGATACGTTCATATATTCACCAGCTTATTGTCAGACACACTTTATCTGACACCATTTGTGGAGGCCAGTTGCACCCTCTGTTTGACCACTCGTTTGACGATGGCCTGTGGTCACACAGCTGCGTGCCTCAGCTGTGTTTGAACAGCCAGGCTTGCTATTCAAAGAAGTTATCACAACCGGAAAAAACGATGCCCTGAAACTGTGAGAAAATGAACCAAGCGGATAACAAGAAAAAACCCTTCTGGCATGAGTGTTGCGTTGGTGTTAAAACGGCGGGCGCCACGGTTCGTGCAGTTTGTGGTTAAGACACCTCAGGAAGTGACGGGAACACGGGAGTTCTGACACTCGGGGACAAACTCATGGTGCACGACCCTGTGAATGTGGACTACGAGCACTCTCGCTGCCTGATACTCGGATGCTGCAGACTCTTCCACTAAGCTTGTGAGCCGCAGCTTTCATCAGCAGCGATTTAAAGGAGAACCATACCCTGATTCATCTGTGAAGGTTCTCAATCATC